ACCGCCAAGGCAAATCCGCCATTATTTGCCAACCGAACCGCCGGTTTTCGATAAGGAAAATGGCAAATTCTAGTGACACTTTTATCAATCCGCCACCCGCCATACGGTTTCTATTTTTCTCTCAAACCGCACCGACCCGCACCGCGCACACCCCTACGGAGTGGCCTTTGGGAGAGATTATCCTGCCGGTCAAAGCGGGATCCGTGGTCAAGCAAGTGGAGTTCTGGGTGTTACAAGTTCCTTCTACTTACAATCTAATCCTTGGAAGGGGATGGCTCCACGCCATGCAAGCCGTAGTGTCGACCTACCATCAGGTGATGAGATTTCCCTCGGCTATGGGGGCAATCGAGGAGATCTGGGGAGATCAAGTCATGTCCAAACAATGCTTCGTGGTAGTAAACGGGAGCCGGGCTGCCAATGGAGGAGCTGAAGCGGCATGTTAAGGGGAAGGGACACACACACCCCACCCCAGGAGAGATCCCTTCCACATCGCTACCCTTCGGCGGTCGGCCGCCTCCTATGATACAGCCCCTCCACTCAGTCACCCTTCGCGGTCGGGCCCCTCATGATCGGTTCCCTCCACTCGATCACCTCGCGGTCGGCCTCTCCATGATCGGTTTCCCTCCACTCGACTACCCTTGCGCGGTCGCCCTTCTCATGATGGTCCTCCCACTGCTAACTTCTTCGGCGTCGGCCTCCTCATATTGGCCCCTCATTCGATACCTCTCGCCGGCCAGCTCTCTTGATCGCCCCTCCCACTCGGTCACCCTTCGCGGTCGGCGCTCCTCATGATCGGCCCTCCACTCGGCTACCCTTCGCGGTCGCCCTTCTCATGATTCGGCTCCTCCACTCGACTACCTTTCGCGTCCGGCCCTCCCTCATGATCGGCCCTCCCACTCGGTCACCTTTCGCGCGGCCCTCTTCATGATCGGGTCCCTCACCCGGTCACCCTTCGCGATCGGCTCCTCATGTATCGGCCCCCCCATTCAGTCACCCTTCGCGGTGGGCCCTCCTCATGATTGGTCCCTCCTACTCGGAATACCCTCCCTCGACGGTTGTCCCCTCCCTCGGTCACCCTTCGAGGTTGGCCCTCCTCACGGTCGGTCCTCCACTCGGACCTTCTGGTCGGTCGTTCCTTTCCCTCGACTTCACCCCCATCTTCCTCATTATTCCTTCGTTAGACAAAGCTGCACTTGGAAGGGGGACTACTGACGTGGGTAGGCCCATAAAATCCATAACCCACTATGAACAACCCAAGCCTACTACTTAGGGCCCGATACATAACCCAACTGATAAGGCCCAGCACCATCTGGAAGTCAACATGGCATGAAGGACCAATGATATTCAGACACGTGCAGGTAAAGGGTAGCCACATCAGCAGACAAAGATCTGCAAAGTTATTGCCACTGCACATCGCCATTAATGCGGCCCCTCCCTGCATTTATTAGGACAACACCTCTCTGTCGGGACAACACGTCCTCACCGCCTAACAAGTAAGCTACAACATAGACTTTGGCCAGGTGACAGGTCGGAAGGGACAACAAATGATTACCAAAGATATAAAGTACGAATTGAAGATTGAACAATAAGAAGGTTAAGCTTTTCTATTTCTAATCTATCTCATATCCACTCTCTCTCTCTAACTTGCTCGTCGGAAGGTTCGCTGGGGACTCCTCGTTCCCCGTTGAACTATTTGCAGGTTCTTGGTGGGCTTGGTCATTCGGACATTAGGCTTGAAGAGTGTGGATCAGTCCAACCTGTCCTACCATCAAGTAACTGCATCATGCGGGGTATGTTGGGGCAATCCCACATTGCCTGGTAGGGACACTTGCAATCAACTTATAAGCGTCTGGCTCCCTTCACCTATAAGAGGCCTTTTAAAGTCGTGAGGCCGGTGGCCATTTCGCTACCTCGCCAGAGCGGATAATATCATACTGGGGCGCGAGAAGCCAGTCATGTCAGTTTGGGGGCCCATGCAGGTCGTTCGGTAAACTTTCCTGCTGTTCGCGGCCCAGTTCGTTGGGAGTTATGTTGGGGCAATCCCACATCGCCTGGGAGTGACACTTACAACCAACTTATAAGCGTACTGACCCCTCCACCTTATAAGAGGCCTTTTAAAGTCGTGAGGCCGATGGACGTCGTTTCGCCACCTCGTTAGAACGGACAATATCTTACCAGAGCGTGAGAAGCCAGTCACGTCACAAATGTTTTAATCAAAAATTAGCGAGGAAGTCATTTTCAAAACAAATCCTCAATGAACGTGAATTTTGATTGAAGGTATAATTAGATCATTGAATCTGTGTCTATTAAACTGTTGTGATCATAAATCTATGGTTACGTAAGTGTGTTCAACTCTTAATTGTCTTATAAAAAATAAATATGCTTTTTTTTATGGATATGTACATATTCAAAAATTTAATTTTTTATATAAATAATTTTTTTATAAATTTATAACATAAATAATTTAAATTATCAAAAAACACTTTGGACATGAGGTATACAACTTCACAACAGCTGTTATAACCCCAGTCACAGCGTAAACTCCTCATATTTTTCTAATTGTTGTTTCTAATATTTAATTATGAAGTATAATAATATTTAATTATGAAGTATAACGTTAAGGAATTGGCTTTCTGTGGTCAGGAGGTGATTTTGTTCGGTGGAGTCAATTACGTTACGAATCTTGTTTTAATAATGTAAAAAAAAAATTAAATTAATTTAAGAATCATAATCTATTAAAATTTATTATCTTTATTTTTAAAAAACAAAATAACAAATAATTTTTAAAATATCACCATTCATTTTTTTTTATGC